AATTGAAGTTGTAATTCCCTTAAGACAAGTTCTATTTTGGTGTCTACATTTACAATAGCTGAGACTGTCACAGTCATTCACCTTCATCATTAAAAAGCCATATAAAGTTCCTTTCTCCTCTAAAGTTAGAATGTGAAATGTTGGCCTTGTAGACTAACTTTCAAGGAACATTGAGTCCTTCAAGGTTTATGTCCAGAGGTGCAGAGACTAGGTAACCAATAAGACAAAGTCAGATTTTAACACTGTGAAAAACCTTCTATACTCATCCATTTTCAAAATTACTTGTGAAAAGTAAAACTTTTTAAAATCCATTATGGGTACTTTTGGAAAAACTTCATTTATGACTTATATGAAGACTGGTTTAAAAACTGGGGAATAAACATGAAATGACAAAAGTTCAAGCCTATTTGTAGCATCCGGCCAGTGCTCTCCAGATTAGCTTTGATTCAAACCTATGGGGGTCCCTCTGTGATACATGAGTCCATTGTGTCTATGTCTGTCTCAAGCACACCCAGATACTGGTGTCTGATAGGAGAAAAGACTTGCGTTCTTTGGAAAGGATTGCAATACTTAGCTCTTTTGTGAGATGCCCTCTAGAGGTGGTGCTAAGGGAAAACCACTGTGCTGTCAAGCCACTAAGGAACATAAGAGCTGGTGATGAGGTGCAAAACATTAGAGAAACACACTTAGAAATGCCATAAGCCAGTAACTAGACTCTAGCAGCCATTGTTACAGAGCTGATGTTGGCTTGGAGCTACCAGAGGAAGTAGCCTGTAAAAGTTATTAAGAACCATCAGAAAGCCTTCTTGTTGGGACACAAGTCCAACAATAATTGGAGCCATTATCACTGACAGCCACCACTAAGAAACCACAGATGATAGAGGACTTTCCAACCCTCTTCCCTTCCCCTTCCCTAAATCAAAGATGCAAATCCTCTTATCTGTTGGGAATTCAAGGTAAAGATAACAAATGTCGGCCTTTCAATCTACTCTAAGACTAAGAGTAATGAAGAATTTTCTGACAGTAAATCTGGTACAGTTGGGAGACTCAGAAATCTCTTATTGCAGGCTTTGCTGGAAAGAAAGACCCTGGATTGTAGCTCAACCTTCAGACTTTCAGTAATTATAATAACGTTTATAGACCCTATACTGAGTGCCACACACACTGCTACAATGAACTTTTTGAAAACAGTGTCAAAGTTTTCATATTTCTCATCAATATTCATCATAACAGAGACCACAAAAATGGGTTCAGAGTTATTTGGTCTCTTTCATATGACAGTGTTTATATGTAATACATAAATACAGTGAAAAATCAGGGCACTGGCCTTTTCAGGCAGTTTTTGGGGAAGCATTCCACCTCCAAAAATAATGAATGCTACAGACCATTATCAAACATAACACTCATTGCTATCTGTTTTGACTAATGTGGCAATATGCTGGCTGATAGGATATATATATAGAGAGAGAGAAAGAGATAGAGAGAAAGAGAAACTATGCCAATGGGCAGTAGCAATTTCTTAGTTGGTAAAACTTATTGATTGAAAAGAAATATTAACGCTTTAGAAAACAGCAATAAATGTTTAGGAAGACTCAGGCCACCATAAGAGAAAGCTTCAAAGCATGTCTCCAGAGCAGTGGTTGAACCCCACAGATCTTTGTGATGATTGAAATTAAACCTGCTAGAGACATGACTTTGGTATTCTTTCAGCAGTCAGGCTGTGGAGTGTTGCCAGTTCCTCTCAGCATTGCAATATGATGGCCACAATTCAGTTCCTATGGTCTGGATTCATACAAAAATTATTAAAACTGTGCCCATACAATAAGCTGAAGAACGGCAATCAAAATTAACTAGGTAGCACAGACTTTGACTGCTGGGATAAAATAATAGTCAAAACAACCTCGCCTTCAGCATCCAGAGATGCAGTGTCATTCTGCCTGTTGTACAGAGACCACAACAGCATAAAAGGGGGACCACCAGGGGAACTGAGTACTCATACAGTCTCCTGGATTGATGGAGTAGGAGAGTTATGTGCCCAGTATGAAAATGACTGTGAGGATTATATGTGTTCTCACAACCAGTGCCATTCAGTGGTCTGGTGGATTAGTCATTGTGCCTTATTTAACTGTCCCTTTCAAACAACCAGTTTTCTTTTTCCTTCTGAGCTGACCATTTGTACAACTGAACTGACCAAAGTAACCAGCTGTTTGAACATCACACCAAATTGTGACACCATTAACCTAAAAGATTGTTTAAGTTTTTATTACTATTTTCTTAATGCTATTAGTGCCTAATCATTGTAGAAAAATTAGAAAACACAGAAAAGAAAAAAGAAAGAAAAAAATATACATATATATGATGTCTCATTACCCAGTACAACCACTGCTAATGTTTAGGAGTATATTCTTCCAGATATTTTCCCACACAAATATACATTTAAACGTTTCAGCAAAAATAGTATTATGCCGCACATAATGTTTTATAACTTGTTTGTTTCCCTAAGCACTAGTGTCCTTCTATAGCTGTCATCTAGGACGTCATTTTTAATGACCACATATCATTCTATTGTATAGATTTACCATAATTTATTTATTTAATCAATCCCCTGTTATTAGACATTTACATGTGATTTGTAATTTTTATTATTACAAATAATACCGTGATGAACATATTAGTAAATACATGTTGCATACTTATCCAGTTATTTCCCTAACATAAGTTCTAGAAGTCGAATTACTGGTTAAAGTTATGCAGTTTTCTAATATTTTAACACTTACTGTAGTTTCATCTTTGAATGGGAAAGATAACAGGTTAAAATCAGAAAGATAAAAATCATTCAAAATCCTTAATGTTTCATAAAGATCTAAAATGCTAAATTAAAACACATAGAAATATTTTAGTTAGGGTCTGTTTGTTAAACCATTTACAAAGACATACACACACAAAGTTATGGGTTTAAGTGCGAGTTATTAAGTTTACAGATCAGTAAATGAGATAATTTTCTAAATAACAGGCAAAGCCATTAAAATATTATCTTCTATTAATACTCAAGAATTAAAAACAATAAGAGCTGTATTGATATATAATTCACATACCATAAAATTCACCCTTTTAAAGTGTACAGTTAGGTGGTTTTTAGTATATTCACAGAGTTGTGCAACCGTCACCACTAATTCCAGAACCCTTTTATTACCTTAAAAAGAAATCTGTACACATTAACAGTCACTCCCCTTGCTTCCCAGCCCCTAGCAAACACTAATCTGCTTTCCATTTTTATGCGTTTGCCTCTTCTTGACATTTCATATAAATGGAATCATACAATATGTGGTTTTTTGTGACTAGCTTCTTTCATTTAGCATAATGTTTTCAAGGTTCATCAGTGTTTTCAGTACTTCATTCTTTTCTATGCCAAATAATATTCCACTGAATAGATATACACGTTTTGTTTATCCACTCATCAGTTCATTCTTAGTATATTAATCAAAATCTTGTCACCATCATGTTTAAAGTACTTCAGTAGCTCCCCAAACTGATAAAGATGTCCATTAAAGACCCATCTTGATCTGGTCCCTACCTACTTTTGGGGATTGATATGATTTTCTCCCACGTTCCCAACCACATCCTCTCGAACCCTTCCACAACCACTGCAGTCATAATAGAACTACTTGCAGCTTCCTGAATGTAACAGGCACTCTCACTTTTGTATGTGCTATCCCTTCCATGTAGAACATCTTTCCTTATCTGTGTGGATACCTTTTACTTGTCCTTTATGATTCCGTGCCAGATATCTCCTCTTCTTAGAAGCTCCAACACATTAAGGTTAAGCTGGATGCAACATTTTAAATAATCTATTATATTGATTACCTCTATCATAACACTTCTCACACTGTTTTATAGTCGGTTTTCTTGACTTTTCTTCTACTATATAGTGAGCTCATCGAAGACAAAAATTATATTCTGTATATCTCTATAACACCAGCAATCAAGGCCTAGCATATGGTAGACATTCAACAAGTGTTTGCTTTGTGTACATGATCAGTAAAATTAATTTGGCATCTTTATAAACTAAATCAATTTAGGAATTTTGTAACTATATAGCTGCAAACTTTATACATTGGAATTTTCTTATGTTTAATTTGTTCATTTTACTTTAAAATTCTCAGTAACATATAAAGTAATACTCATTAAAATAAACCAGTCTTATATGTGATTCTAGTAAGGTTTTTAAAGTGTACATTGAATTTGCAACCTATCAGATAGGAGACATTTTCAATGAGGAATAACTTAAGACAACTTCAGAAGTTATACAAAAGTTACACAAAAGATGGTTTAGAACCATACATCAAATTATTTGAGAAAGAAATTAAGACTATGCCATGAAATTAATTTATAAATCATAAGTGCACTTTAAAAACAATATGAGGGCTTCCCTGGTGGCGCAGTGGTTGAGAGTCCGCCTGCAGATGCAGGGTACACAGGTTCATGCCCCGGTCTGGGAAGATCCCACATGTCGCGGAGTGGCTGGGCCTGTGAGCCATGGCCGCTGAGCCTGTGCGTCCGGAGCCTGTGCTCTGCAACAGGAGAGGCCACAACAGTGAGAGGCCCGCGTACCGCAAAAAAAAAAACACAGGTTCATGCCCCGGTCTGGGAAGATCCCACATGTCGCGGAGTGGCTGGGCCTCCATGCCATGGCCGCTGAGCCTGTGCGTCCGGAGCCTGTGCTCTGCAACAGGAGAGGCCACAACAGTGAGAGGCCCGCGTACCGCAAAAAAAAAACAAAACAAAACAATATGAGCGTTTTGTGCAAGTAAAAATGTTGCTTTTCTTAAACTTGATTTAGAGGGTGGTGCCTTGCTTAATATACTATAATAATATTTTAACCTCACATGTGTAAACTGTTTTTAATCTGTTTTCACTGTTTTCTATGTGAATGAAAAAATTTTTAAGTAGATCTAGTTCTTGAAAATAGAATCCTAACCTCTGTTACTTCTGACTTATAGGGTATCTTTGTTACTAGGGTTCAGCCTGATGGACCAGCATCCAACCTGCTGCAGCCTGGTGATAAGATCCTTCAGGTAAGACATAAAAAGCAATGCTTTCTAAGGCCAACACTGAAACAAATATGTACCCAAGTTATTAAGCTGAATGACTTGAATTAAGTGATTGAACATAAGCTCCTCTTACATTTCTTATTTGCCTTTATTTTTTGGGGGTTGAGAGGCAGGTCAGAAACCATTTCAGACCTATAGAATCCTATATCCCCATTACCTGGCACATGGCAGGTGTTCTGAATATTTTTGTTTAAATGAATGGTTATTTGGGGAATGAAAGAAGAATTGATACATACAGGAATCTGTGCATAAGTATCAAGTGTAAGTAATAATAATGAAGTACCCAAATAGGGTATCTATATGACTTTAGATGAGGGAGAAGAGACTGTCCATGTTTAATTTCTCAACAGCAAGCTTATTACTGTTTGAATAATATGAAACACCTGGTTATATCTCTCTACTCTCCCTGCTGACATGTTTGAACAAAAGTTTAGCTGTATACAAGGTGACTTTTTAAAATGTATTGTGTGATGGAAAAAGACCTTTCCCTAACTTAAAGCTCTGCATACCAAAAAAGGATCCCTCCAGTAAACATTTAAGTACATGCTTGGTATAACCTCATCCATTTTGCTTTCTTCATCCTTCTCTCTTAATTCACTTCCACCTAATCATTTCCTACATCACAGGGCAAGGCTCTTAAGTATCATCAATTTATTTGAGATTCAATATTTTGACTTATGACCCCAGAAATTTTCCACTGTGTAACTGGATGGAACTATCTGACATTGCAGAGATTCGATCCTTTGGAGAAATTATAAAATGGTTCAACATAATAAATTGAAGATTTAGGGACACTGAGAACACAGGAGCCTTCTGGTCAGATTGGCTATGCAGATAGTTACCAGAATGCAAGGGCCCCCACTCAACTCAGCTCTGAGGAGATCTTCTACTTTCTATTTATCGAACTCTCTCAAAGATCCCAGAAAAGTAGAAACCCCATATAGATAAATTGTCTTAGCATTTTATTCTCACACATAGTTTAAACTAACTAGCAAGATCATGAAAACTCAAGTTTTCAAAAATGATAATTATCCGAAAAGACTGTGGGTTGCTTCAACCTTTGGCAATGTCCCAGGAGAAATACCATCCAAAAGGTCCAAGTCAATTCCATGCAAGCAGAAGAGCAAACCAGCAGCTGGTCTTTTGAGTTAAAACATTGAAACAAAAAAAAGACACAAAATCTAAATATTTTCTTTAACCACTTTATTATTGAAGTTCTATATTTTTTAATTGCCTAGCTAGCCCTTTGATCTTAAGCATTTTATATCATGTCTAGAGAACTCACATTCATTATATGTAAAATGAGTTTATACTACAGCTAAGGTCCCCCAGCTCAAAAATTCAACTGTTCAATAATTTTATCAATTTCCATGGAAAATGGCTAAGAATAAACTGACAACGTAACTTCCTAACACTTGGTACATGCTGCTGTTTAGGAAAGGGAGTGGCTAGTTTTTTTCTCTACTGAATTTCAAAGAAATTATTTTGAATCTCAGAGTCTGTAAAAAATGAAGCCAGTTCATCTGAGATCTCTGATATATTAGAATGCCAAGCTGGGTAGAGAAGCCTTCCATAGCTTGAAACAAGTTTGGGGACTTTGCCTTCATCCATGACAGAGGGAGCAAAAGAAAGACTTTTCCTTCCAAATTCAGAAATATTTAAATGGGTATAAAAATGTTATATAGATAGAGAGCTACAGATACAGATATAGATATAGACATCCTGCAGAAGGAAATGAGAATTAAGGTAATATCTAGTTGCAGGGTTAGAATACACTTCTGGCTGTGAAATTCTAGAAGGGTTATATGTGGGGAAATGAGGGTTTAGTATTTCTAGTCCCTGAGATGTATACAGAAACAGCAAAGTGCACAGAGAAATGAATTCCCAATGCAAGAAGTAGGAAGGAATATAAGCCAAATCAGTTAAAAGTCACAAAACTGCAGAAGAGCTGCACCTGGATTTTCTCTTCTCTCCACAAATGACTATCAAGGATGTAACATTTTATTTTTGCTATAGAAGTTATTTGTATCTAGTATAATAAAATCAAAGTCCATTTTCAGTAAAAGAAAAATGCCCATAGACCTTAATAAAATAAATTGCTGTATTTACAGTTTCATTCATATTAGTTAAAAAGCACAAGTGGCCAATTATATTTTCTGAAGGAAATAAAAATGGCTAATTCTAAACTGAAATCATTGCCAACATCAGATGCTAAGAGAGCAAATTATATATTTGTCTCTTTACAATACTGTGGCTCTTAGTTTAAAGAACACTGGAAAAAAACGAGTTTATAACATTGAGTTATCTGTCACTTACAAGATCATTAGAATATATCCTCACTGGAGCAAATTTATTTACAAACCTTTATGAAAGCATACTACCTGGAAAATCAGGGTAAAAGGAAAAAACAAAAGCAACGAATGAGCTCCCCTTTAAGTGATGGCAGTTATTGGGTTTGATCTAACCCAATAGCAAGTAGCAAAAGAGATATAAAATAGCATGAGATATACCTTTCCCAAATTTCCCCCAAACCCAGAATTTGTTATATAAGAGCTATCTCTTTTTTTTTCTGTAAATCTTTTTACCCACTATTCTCTTCTTATTCTGCTATGGTATTATGAGCATGTTATTTGAGTTACATGAAGATGTGTGTATTAAAGGATGATGTTAATTAAAACATATTCACATGATTATTCTGTCATTTTACTATTCATTTTCCTAGAATAGATACTGTAATTCATGTGCATATTCAAATGACTTGCTGTGCTTAGCAAGTCATTTTGGTTTAAGACAGTGTGGCATGAGGAAAGAGCACTGTGCTAGGGCAACTGACCCCTCACAGCATTACCTTCTGTCAAGTCGAATTACAGAAGAGTGAGAGAGAACCAGGGAAAGCACATGGAGCATAAAAAATGTTATTCAGTTGAGCCGTGTAAATTTGCCGATATCTGACCATTTTTGAAGTGGCAGTTTTGTTGATTTAACATCATAGTTTCTTTTTTCTAATGTTCTTTGCAGTTAAAAAATTCAGTCTAATTCATTATACATTTTACAATTTAAAGTATATTTAAATATAGAATATCTATTAATTATAGTTACTCTGTTGAAAAGATGAATAGATTGGAAAAAAAGAATATATTGTACTTGATAGTTAACATGACTCACAGTTGTAGCCTACAGCTCACTTGTAAGTATATTGTATTCGAGTCTATCATGGTAGTCAATACCTATCCTCTTCATTTACTTGCCCCCACCCCTTCCCAAGACAAGAGCCTAACTTTGACAGAAGAGAAATTATATTATTTATAATTAGTTTATGACATCCAGTTCTACTTTGCAATAATTTTAAGAGTTTGGAATTTGTAATCCAAAGTATATTCCTGGTCTATGGCTATATCTCAAAGATACCAAAATAGAATAATCAAAGAGATGATAATTCGAACAAACCTGATATGTTGCACTTTTTTAAAAATAAATTTATTTATTTTATTTATTTATTTTTGGCTGAGTTGGGTCTTTGTTGCTGGGCACGGACTTTTCACTAGTTGCGGTGAGTGGGGGCTACTCTTCGTTGTGGCGCGCGGGCTTCTCATTGCGGTGGCTTCTCTTGTTGCAGAGCAGGGGCTCTACGTTGCAAGCATATTAAGAACCTGAAAAATCGTACAAAATGGTATAACCCAACATATTTAACCATGTAGCCCTCTTGACCAACAACATCAATTAGCCACTTCCACAGAACACACTTAGGGGAATACCTCTAGCAGAAGCAACTAACTGGGTCCACGGCTTCATTCCAGAGAGTGTTCATGTTCATAATTATTATCATGAGTCACTAAGAATGGGTTAGAGTACATTTATTTCTCTGAATTCTTTAAAATTTCTCCTCAAAAAAGACTACAGAAAGTAAAGAGGAGAAATTTTTGTTATGGTTAAAATGAAGTGTGGGACCCTTAAAGAAATAAAGTATTTGGAAATTTCACTAAAGCATTTCCCAACAAGGCTAAATAAGTTAACACTTTTCTATTGTTGATCTTATTTGGTGGTTGAAAATCAAAAACATCGGAGAGGTTTGGGGAAAGGTGGGTGGGGGGGTAGGTGGATGAGGGGGTAGGGGGTTGGGTGGGTTCAGCATCATGTAACTCTTAATGTTCAGAGAAATTATTGCTTATAATGATAAAATACATGTGCAGATATTTTTAAATAGCATTTGGTTAGAAGATAACCAAAAATAATTTTTTAAACGTGTATGATTTTATATGCCAGTTTCACTGCATACCTTTATCCATTTGGTTTGTTCATAGTGTATAAAGTTCAGCACAGATAACTAATTAGAGACAGAGTAAATACTTTCTGCAAAACAAAAAAATAATATTTAGGTACTAAGTGAAACATGAAAAACAATAAAGACAAATTAAGTTCATTAAGCTGGCTCTAAATTCCATAATTTGGCTGAAATAAAAATAACATCAATTAAGCACCCATCTTGTGTCATTTAGAACACACAACAACCCTGCAAGGTATCTGTTGTTGACAGAGGTTAAATAGTTCATTTGAGCCTCTTCCATTATACAACACTGATTCTCCTGGAGCAAATTTTACTGATAGCATCACATTTTCCATTTCCTGATTTGGCAAATATGCATTAAATGCCCACAATGTACAAAGTGTGAGGCCAAGCCACGTGAACACTGCAACAAGGAAATAGAACTAAGGTTCTACCTTTACACACCTAGCCCAGGAAGTAGATGTGCCCAAAATTACACAGAGCAGAAAATGGAGGAAGAGAGACAGGAAAAAGCTGACTTCAAACACGCAACAAAATCAGCTCCCAGGCTGTTTTCTCTTAAGAGTAAGCTCTCCACCAAAACAGAAACCAACCTGGCTACAAAGAGTTCCCTGAAAATGAGAGGCTGATTTTGCAGTTCCTTTTGTGGTAAAGTACAGAAATAAAGTGCAGCTTGTTG